AGAACTGCTTGAGCTAGCACTGGATAGACCAGAGTCACTGCACAGGTAAGGTTATAACAGTGTAGCGGAGCTATACATGAAAGATGTGAAATCTCTACCGGTTTTCAGAAGGATAGAAGGTTAGAAGAGAGGCTGAAGAACGAGAAGATTTTGGTCGTTACCAGGTAACAGGAGGCTCTAGGTTGGACCAGTCCCGTGGATCGGTGTCAGCCACCCAGACACGTTAAGATGAAGGAGCAGAGCTTGGCTTTATGCTGTTTCTGGAGGCTGGTGAAGGATACTTGCTCTTCACAACCATCCGGGGGCCAATCAGAAGATCCCTGCAGTTTTGGGGAGAATCAGGGCAGTCCAGCAAATCTTCTCTGTTAGCGTCCTCCTGTGAGGGACGGAGGTATTGCTTTCAAAATATCCCGGTATTGCCTTGAGAAATATACTGAGCTTCTTGCAAGCCACGTTGGGCCACCTCCAGATCAGATATCTGGTGGGATTTAACCAGCACGTGTCCACTCAGATGGCCACGGATCAGATGTCTTTCAAAGGCATGCCCTTCATTCACATCCCCATGACATGGAAGGAAATCATAATCCTGAAGCTATCCTAAAGCTGCTGTTTAAGTAGGCTTTGTGGTTAGTGTGAGCAATGCCATTTAGCGTTACTCAATTTAACTGATCGATGAGCACAGAAGTATATTCTACCTGATGATCATATCTTTGCTTACCTGTATCAGATTTAACCCAAGGTGAAAAGGCAGAGCACTTCTAATCTCAGCCTCCGCCATGGAGTGACTTCGTCTAAATTTCCTGCTGGGAATGATCCCCGGTCTCTGCCAGCTTTGAGACCATATCTGGAAATCGCTGGAAGAATGCAAGAGCCAGATTTGTGCCCGGGGAGCTCTGAGGATTGCAGAGTAAAAATGTTTGTGCTCCAACGCCCAGGTCCTGCCCTGCTTGATTCACTGCCAGAGCTATATGGCAGGTATGTTAGGAGCCGATGGCTAAATAATGGTAAGGTGTTGGGCCTAAGCTTGCCTTTGCTCTTATAAAATAGATTTCAATATATTGTCATCCAGCTATTTGAGGGATATGCAATGAGTTCCAGCTCTAAGTATTAATTTTGCCTTCTGCAGCATTGTGCTTTGGGTTTTGATGGGGGCAGTCATGTGCATCGGAGTGCTATCAATGAACTGGCCAGTTAATTCACCAAATAAATCCCGGCAAGAATTTCTCCCTAAATACCCACAACTCATTAATGAGGAAGCATGGACTCCGTTCATTTCATTGCTTCCCGATGAGTTCTTTACAAAGGTAAAAAATAGGTCACCGCAGAAAGAAAAATAATAATCAGCTGGAATTAGGTTAAAAATAGCTGTGTTAAATGGGAAGTTAGCACTTCTGTGAAAATTCAGAAACGGGATTAATGAGCTGTTGTTAATATTACATCATTTCTGTTGTCAGAAGGGAAAATGTTGACAGGTTTGATTAACACTACTTTGATTAACAGAAATTAAAAAGATCTGCAGTAAGGAAAGGTGGGGGGGAAAGTGAGGAAGTAAACCAAAAATCTAATAGTTATGAGTAAAACAAGAAAAAAGGGAAAGCTTTGGTTGTTTTTGTTTGTTTGTTTTTGTTTTGTTTTGTTTTTATAACTTCTGCACCAAAATATTTTCAGTACTTAATACCTCTACTGTATGCAAGATATTTTAAGCTACCGGTTTGCGGCAAACATTACTTGAACCACCTCAACATCTTTACTGATGTTGTTTTCCCCTCATGCTGTTTTTTCGGGACTTTCCTCTTTGGTATGAACCCAGGTCAACATAAAGAAGAAGCCAGCCCTGGCTGAAGTTGTCAGAAAGGGACAGAAATTCACATTCACCCTTCAGCAGCTTTTGCTGGTCTGCCTTCTCAAGAAAATACTTGAGCAGGAATTGCTGTCTTCCGTGTTTTAAGAACTAGAAGTAAGGATTGTCATGCATTGTGATGCTCCCCATACCATACACCTGGAAGCATCTGCAGGGCTACACCAGTTTTCCTCAATTAATTCAGGGGGAGCAGGCAACGCTGCCCATTTTCTGTGCTCGAGCAGGGTGGTGTCACCACAGAGGGCCAAAAGGAGGCTTCAGGTCCTGCTGCAACCCCAAATCTGTGCCCGATGTGGTGGTGCAAGTGACCTTCTCGAGCTGGGAGACCTTGGAGGCCAGCTCGGAGGCAGACACAGAGGTTGTACAACCCCCTGCTGGAGGACAGGCAAAATCCATCCCTGCTGTTACAGCACAGCCTCCTGGGCCTCTGCGATATCGCCAGAGCTGCGGAGAAAACAGTCTGCCTCAAAACACCTGCGGCGGATTCTGCTGTAGGAAACCCTGTAGGAAAATCTGGTTGCATTTGCTCTTTTAGCCATAGATTAGGCTGTGAGAGTGATGAGTCCTTGTGGTAACACTCAGCTCTCATGCTGGGCCTCACCGGGGCAAAAGTCCTGCAGGGCAAGGCCAAACCCGGCCTTCTGCTAACTCTTTGGTGCACATCCCCTAGAGAAACAGAGAAACTCCTTCCAGCTTTCATCCTGCACAACTAAAAAGGGGTGTGGGGATCACAGAGGCTGTGCCTGACTCTCCCAGTGCACCCCTTGGGCTTCCAGGCCTCTGCACCTCATGGAGTAGGCTCCGCTCCGGGACACAGAGACAGCATGTGTCAAATATGAACACTGAGTGGTCTCAACACCCAGTGAGAGACACCAGAGAGCAACCAAATTCACTAAATGCTCGATGAATGGAGTGGTGAAAGGATTTCAGCCTGCCAGCAAAAGCCAAAGGCCTTGGAGGCCTTCCGCAGACACAGCTGGCAGAGGCTGAGGGACATGAGAACAATCCCACAGTGACACCCTCCATGGCTTCCTCCTTCCCGTGCATTTACAGAAATTTCTACTATTCCTCCGGGTATCTGTTGTGAAGGGATCTCTGCTTTCTTTCCTAGCCCTCGTTGACTCCTATCAGAACCTGACCTGCCCCGCTGTATGGGAGCTGCTGCTCTCTGTCAGCCCTCTGTTCACCACAGCTCTTCCCTGTGAGAGCCTCCCCTGAGCTGCCTTTCATGCCCTGCAGGGATTTTTTCTTAGACCTCTGTTTTCTTTTCGAGTCAAAGCAAATATTTTGCTGAGGTTTCTAGCACAGCCTTTTTAACAGCTTACAGGCTGCCTGCAGGCTTCTTGCTCCCCCGGGTTGCTCCTTTTGGTGCTTTTCTCTATTCATTTTTGCTTTTTTTGAGATTGAATATTTGCATGTTAAATGTATTTGGTCCCACAACACGGATAAAAACAACTGTTCTGTGGTAATTTTTGCAGAGCAGCTCTTCTCCAAGTAACTTTTGAATTAGGCCCTTTGCAACACTCATGACCAAATCCAGAAGAAACTTTTTTTTGTGGGTACCAGGACCAGTTTTTTCAAGAATCAGCCTTTTCCTAATATAATCCAGAACCGCCCCTCACAACAGCTCTGCTGCATCATCTGGAGGAAGGGATCTATGTTCATAAGATGTGACCTCCTCTTTGGGGCCGTCAGGGAGGGCCTATTGCTTAAACCCATCTCCAAGGTGTTGACAGACACTTGCAGCTCGGGTGTGTAGCAAAACACGGGTTGAAACAAGTACACAGACAGGGCTCAACACGTCAGGGCCATCCAGGACCATGTGACGTCTCATCTGTAGGCAAGCCAAGGCTCCCTTTGCCTTTGCCTCCCAATTTCTTATGCATGGGGACAGTGCTAAATGGTGTATGGGGTTGCACAGGTGGCTTTGATGCTCCCCATTGCCCTCATTCACTGGCTGAGTGGTGCCTTCAACCCTCCCACCTTGTTGAGCTTCATATTATTACCCCCCTTCAAGCAACGAAGGCATTTCCATTTCAGTACAACCCCAAATCTTACATTATCCTTCTTTCCAATGGAGGGAAGCTTACCGAAAAAGAGGTTTTCCATACCTTCCCTATCATAGCCACCACAAAGCAATTCAGATTTCTGGGATGTGGTCAGCGATTTTGCTCTACACAAAAGGATTTGGTGTCTCCATTTGTTGGTCACAATTAAGAATGATTTTTTTATGCTCCTTTCTTAATAGTGCCTGCAGTTATTTTGGAAGGGGATAAACAATGTAAGACATCTCAAGACCTTCCTCCTCCTCCTGGCAGGAGACCAGGAGACAATGACCTTGCTGACACTTCCCCAGTTCATGCCCCAGTTTCTTCATCTGTGCAAGACAAGTAGAGATTTTTGCATTCTCTTTAAAGCACTTGACTTCAATGATTATACAACCCCTACGGAGTCTCAACTACCATTATTCCTGAAAGGCAGCCCCGTGAGAGAGTCACTGCAACTTTTTGGCATTCCACCAAATACCAGCTTTGTTTTTTTTTTTTTTTGCTATTGTTATTTCTTCTTCCTGAACTGAAGTAGCTAAAATTAACCCAGGTGGAAGAGCACGGCTTAATCAGAACAGCAGGTACCTTCTGTTTGCTCAGCTACCTCCTACAGCCAGTGCAAGCCCCAGTTCACGAGCACAAAGGACTCTCAAATCGCTAGATGGAAGGAGCGATTAAGGTTCAAATACCACCTTTGGGCTTGGAAAGCTCGGTTGTTATTAATGATTACTCCTTTGGTGGTGGCAACGTGCTGTGCAATAACGTCAGCTGCAGCGTGGAGGCAGGACTTGGCTGTGCCTGGAGAAGCTGCTACTCCAAAAACCAGCACAGATGGCTCATGAGATGTTTAAGTCATCTTTCTGGGCCGAATGGATCTGAACTCCCCAAATGTGGAGGTAACCAAACCTCCTCCGGACTTGGACCCGGGTAGGGAAATCCTAGAAAACCTTGTCCAGGTTTGTAGATGCCCACCCATGAGCTGTGGCTGGACATGAGGCCCACCGTGTGGTCCCAGGCCTCAGGAACCAGAGCGATCAAAACACTCCTCACCAATTAATGGTTTAAGAAGCTTGGCCTTAATACACATCCTTTATTAGATATTTACACATCTCAGATAATTTTCAGACCGGACTCTTTGGACGTGGTGAATACATGTTAGGGGAGAGAAAAGGAGCACAAATCACTCCCATGCTGTAAGGCTGAGATATTTGTCAGAGTCTGGAGGAGAGCAGAAGACTTCAGTGTCCAGCCCTTGCTGCATCACAGCAGAGACCAAATTAGAGTTGGCCAGACCTGGAGAGGAGGAGCTGGGGCTGAATCAGACCTCACCATGCAGGAGCCAGCTGGATGAAGGTGGAGAGACAAATTTCAGGTGGAGACAAGGTGGGAGGAGAGCAGTGAGACTCCAAAGGCATCCCCATGCTGAAGCCCTTAGATATTTTGGTTGGCAGAAAGGGCAATGTGGAAGTCCAAGAGCTGGAAAAGGTTCCCCCGGGTTTCACTGTCACCTCTGAGGCTTGACTGGCACAAGCCCTCTGCACCTCACACCCTCCACCTCCGAGGTGGCCATAACAGGGACCACGTTCCCAAACAAACCTCTTAGAGGTGGGAACTCCACCTTGTGGAGTCCTCTTTAGGACACCCAGGTGGCAAAAGTGACTTCCACCAGCTCCAGGTGTAGACAGCACCACAAAGAGCAGCCAAGTAAAGCCGGACAACATTACACTGCAGGTGTCACTGCTGCTGACCCCACCAAAGCCACCAGCCCCGACATGGACCACGGATGGTCATCAAAAGGGTATGCAGCACTTCGCCAGGCCATTGTAGCAGGTACCGATGGATCTCTTGAACAAGGAGCACAGCAAGAAGGAGCACTCGCCCTTGATCTTCCGACACATGACAGTGTCTGGCACTGTAATTGCAAAAAAAAAAGCCTGTAAGCACCTTTCTTTGGATGTTCACACATGAAGAAAGCTTGTCCCCATGTCAACAGGTCTTTGTGCAGACACAAAGTCAACCTAAAAAGTGCCCGGTGGTTGTGTCTGCACTTACCTGTGGTAGCCTGGGACACCACAAGGAGAGCAAGCAGCAGCAGGAGCATCACCTTCATGGCTTGGGCTGGCATTGGTGGTGTCACCCCAAGGCTGCTGAGAGCAAGAGATGCTGTGAGAGGAAGGAAAGGACCTGTTTATAAAGCTTTGGTTAATGCAATCTGCAGGGATTTAGCAATCGAATAAATAAAGTACTTAAAGGATGTGCTCTGTAATCTCTAATTACAAATTCCCATGTGGATAGATGGCAGTACAGGCCCCCACCCCAAGAGAAATTATCTTCTTAGCACTGACATCTGGCTCCCGTGCCCTGACCCAAAGCCCCATCTCCTCCATCAGCAGCATGTACAGGCAGGGTCACTTCGAGGTCTTTGTACTCAAATCTCAATCAGACGCAGCTTTGCCTCCAGAAGTTCCAATTCTGAACAGAAGGGAGCGTTTGTTCCCCAAAAAAATCCCAACACCACATGGAGACTGAATCCAGAATCAGCCCCACCGAGCTGTTCTGCCTCTCGGTGCGGCTCCAGCAGCGCATCCAGCAGGTCTGGGCACATCTCGTGCTCCCGTTTCCAAAAGGGGTCAACGTATAAGAAAATCCATCACCACCCTCTGCTCTGAGCTCTGCTGGAGACCCGTGGGGGCTCCCGGGTGCTGAAATCTGGAAGAGAAAACCGTGGCCAAACCAGTGGCTGGAAGGCAGCCAGCGCAACTGGGAGGAGGCTGTGAAACCGGGGAGGGCGCTCAGCTCTGGGAGCACCTCAGCTTTGTGCAGGACCCAGCAAAGATCAGCACTCGCAGGCCACCAAAGTGATGTTCTCTGGTTTCTTACCGTGAATATCTCCACCTGCTCTCCAGGAGAGGCCTCGTCTTCGTGCCTTTCGCCTTCCTCGCTCCCGTGGGAGCCCCTGCAGCTCCCCGGCTGCTGGATTTGGTTCATCTGGAAAAATCAGAGAAGAAAAGGGAAGGTCCCAGATCCCTCGGGAGCAGGGTTTGGCTCCTCGGCACATCCCTGAGCACACACGGGGGCTTTGGTTCATCGCTCACCTGCACGTGTCAAGGGGGGAGTTTACAGAGCACGGGCAGTGCTGGGGACCTGCAGAGAACCCTGGAAACGGAGCTGGGTGACAAAATTTGCTCCTTTTAATACAGCATAGTCCAGGGTGGCATTACAGTTTCCAAAAATCAACCAGAATAACCCCAAAGCACCAGGAAAGGAGTGAAAGCCTCCAAACGCCCTCACCGCCCCGGCAGCCCAGGGGATCTCAGAGCTTCGGGAACCTCCTGTTTGATTTTCCAGAGGCACCAACAAAACCCTCGGTGACATTTGGACGTAATTAAGCAGCCGTCCGTCCGATGGACGCATCCTAATTAATTTGTGGCTCCCCCTCGCATCTCCCGGCCGCCACCTAGCGCCCAGCCCCGCGGGGACAGCCGGGGGGACACCGGGGGGGGCTTTGCGCGAGGGCGCAGAGATTTGGGGACAGAGGGATTCTGCAACCCCCTCATCGCCCCCAAACACCCCCCAATGCTCCGTGCTGCACCCCAAAGAGCCCACGTGACGTCAGCAGCGTGACGTCACATCTCCGGGGAGGGAGGGGGGCATCGGGGGGAGGCGCTCCGGAGGCTCCTTCCTCTTCCTCCTCCTCCTCCTCCTCCTCCTCGCAGGATGCGCGGGGGCTTCCCGGGGCTCTCCCTGGCGCTGCTGGCTGCGGAGAGCGCTGCGAGTGAGTGGGCGCGCAGGGAGCGCGCAGGGAGCGCGCAAGAGGCGCGCAGGGAGCGCGCAGGGGGCGCAGGGGGCGCGCAGGGGATGCGCGGGGAGGATAAAGTGGGAGTAAGGGGGGAGTAAAGGGAGAAAAAGGGGAGAAGGCGCTGCGCCCCCTCCGTTCCCCAAGCAAAAGCTTTTTGTATCCGGACACCGCTTTCTCCCCTTTTTTTTAAAAAAAAAATTTTTTTGAACTTTTTGTTTCTTTTCGAATTCGAATTCCGGCGCCCTTTATCTGAGCCCGCCTTCGGCCAAGCCCCTCGGTGGCGCCGGCTGCGCTGCTGTGACAAGCGGCCCAGGAGCTGGAAGCCCGAGATAAAGGCACGGGCTGCGGATCCTGGGGGAGGCTGCGGGTGGCATCTTTAGGGTGGCATCCCCCAGAACCCTCTCCTTTTCTCCCAGGGCTCGGCACCATCATCCACTACCTGTTGCGGGGGCAACTGGGCTGCTTTTGGCTCACCGTCGCCTGCCTGGCACCCGGCTGCGTGCCTCAGCTCCTCAGCACCCTCTGGTTCAAGGCAGACGGCCGCCCACCCAGCTGTGGGCTTCTTATTCTCCACATCCTGCAGCTGGGCCTCTGGAAGCGGTGAGATCCTCACCCCACGACCCACCCAGCCTCCCTACACCTGCCAAAAAGTTTTGGTGGATGTCCCACGGTGCTGCCCTTTGCAGGTATTGGGATGTTTTACAGCTGGAGGCGAAGGCGGGCGGCAGCGCCGGTGCCGGGGAGGTGCTGCTGCAGCTCGGGGACGTCTGCGTGCTGCGGCTGCTGGAGGCCCTGCTGCAGACCCTGCCGCACCTCCTGCTGCAGGCCTACGTCGTCGTGGCCGTCGAGCCCTCCAGCTTTGTGCCCGGTGAGCGGGGAGCTCCCCAGAGGATGCTTCGTGTTGCAAAGGGGGGAGGAGTTTGGGTGGGCGACGTGTTCCCACCTGGCAGGGCGCAGAGCACGCTCTGCGTGGAGAATTGTGCTGCAGAGGGGGTAGGAAGCCCTGATGCAAGGCAATCGGGGATAAATACGGCTTAAAAACACGCTGTGGTTGAGCCTGGAGGAGTTTCTGGGCTGACCATGGCTTTTCCCAGCTGGCATGGGCACTCCTCACAGCGTACGGAGCATCTCCGTGGTGCCTCGGTTGGGTTTGGACCCAACACCCGTCCCTCAGCTCCAGCCGAATCGTGGTGTGGTGCTGAGCATTTAGGGCTTGGGGGCTGTGTCACAGAAAAGGGGAATTCCCACTTGTTTTGCAAAGGGAGAAGCTGGGACACGTGCGAGGTCAGTCTCCAAGTCGTGGCAGGCTCAGGTCCGACCACAGCGGGCGGAGATGGAGCCTCGGGCAGGCACCGGCGCGTAGCAGAGACCAGATTTGGGATGAGCTGCTTGAAATCCTCCAGCAGATAGCATCTGTCTAGCTTGGATGGGTGCTTGATGGCTCCTTCAAGCAGAGACGTGGTCAGGTGTCCTCTGAACCCCCTCAAGACCTCCCCTGTCCCCATGCAGCTGTCAGCGCTGGGCTGTCCCTGCTGTCCCTCTCCTGGGCCTTGGTGTCCTACAGCCGCTTCTCCTGCCTGCTGAAACCTGGCCACGTCCGCCTGCCGGCCGCAGCCCTGCTCTGCCTGCTGCTCTGGAGGACGGGGATGCTGGGGACCCGCGTCCTGGCCCTGGTGCTCTTCACCAGGCTCTATTCCTGCTGGGTTTTGGCTGTGGCAGGTGAGACCCACGTTCCTCAGCTTTTTCACCCCATCCCGTAGGCATCCGGGGAGCCGCTCCCAGCTCCTCCGGGGCCGTTTTGCCCCCCTCTCGGTGCCATCCCCTCGCAGGCATCCACTGGCTGCTCATGGCCTTCTGGCTGGTGGCCCAGCAGACCGACATCGTGGCCCAGCCGTGCCGCTGGAGGCTGTTCAATGCCCTGGTGGGAGCCGTGTACGTCTTCTGCTACATCAACGTCCAGCCGGGGGCCTCCAGGCACAGGGTGGCTGTGTTTTACCTGGTGAGTACCCTGGGGGGGGGGGGCGTGGAAATTCTCTTTTATTTTTATTATTTTTAAGCACCGGATTTTATTTATTTATTTACTTATTAGGCTGGGGAAGAAGGGCACTTGCAATGTAGGCGCAAAATAAATCAGCAGCGTCTCGACTTAGACCTGGTGCTGGTCATTTGAAGCAACCTGAAACCCTCCGAAGGACCCGAGTGACTTTTCTCTCCCTTCTGCTCCCCAGGTAATGCTGGTGGAAAACACCCTTCTGCTGCTGCTGGCCACTGAGTTCCCGCAGGCAGAGGCGAGGCACAGCCTGGGCGTCACCGGGGCCGTCTTGTCGGGGTCTGCCCTAGGTAAAACCCCCTGAATTTAGCACCTGGATCGCGTGTTTGGAGAGCAGCTGGAGCAAACGAGCTGCTGTTTTAGTTGCATGGGGAATATTTGCTTTATGTCTTCAAGCTTAAGGTTCTGGATTTATTTGGGTATCCCCTAATCCACCTGGAGTTGCATTTCCCAGCTTTATTTCTCAGTTTGGGGTGGAGGTAAGGAGGTGGCGTAATATCAGAGCGGTGAAGTTTGGAGCAGCCTCCTCTCCTGGTGGGGAGTAAATTCATGAAGAGATGGCTCCGAGTGGCATTGTGGCCAAAATGCGGCCAGGATTCGTCCCTTGATGCTTTTCTGCTCTTTTGCAGGCGCCGCAGCTCTGGTGGTTTATTACAGCCTGCTCCACCCCAAGTCCGCAGAGATCTGGGAGGGCTTCCTGGAGAAATCCTGCCGGGCCGCGGCTGCTCGTGACGATCAGGATGCTGGAAGCAGCTCCCAAACAGGGCAAAGTTTGGGAATTTCGGGAGATGGCGAATGCTTGGAGGTGGAAGGGACCACAACGGCTCCCGAAAAGGGGAACGGCTCCTCGCTGCTGCAGGTCAGAGGGTGCTTGGAGGATGCGTGGACAACCCATCACCACTGGCTGCTGGTGAGGCTGGCCTTGAAGACGGGCGATGTGTCCCAAATCAACGCAGCTTTCGGGGATGGTGGCGTGGGAGAGGTGTACGCGGGCAGAGCCTGGCCCGGGGCAGAGCTGTGCCTCCCCACGAGGGAAATCGCTCCCGTGCGCCTCAGATCTGATCCGAGAGATGCAAAATTGGGGGTGGTGAGGAAAGGAGGAGGCAGCAAAGGCGAGGTCGGGGATGAAGCAGCGCAGGAAGATGGAGCAGGGCAGGAGCCTGCTCCTCGCCCTGCCACCTCCCTGCCCAGCAGCTCCTCTGTGGTCCTGGACGAGGTTTCCTCCGTCTACTTCACTGCCAACGCCAGAGGCATCACCTCTGCTGGTGTGATGACAGCCACGGCCACCTCCACAACCCTGCTGCAAGGGGACAACGAAGCCCGGCCTCCCCCGGGCTGCCTGGCAGGAGGAGGAGGAGGAAGAGGAGAGGATTCATCCCTCGGGATGGCGAACATCAGCCCCATCCCGGGCTCCTGCGCCTGCCGGCACCTGCAGAGCAGCTCGTCCCTCTGCAGGACAAGTGGCTGCGGGGCAGTAGAGCCCCCCGGAACCCCCATGGGGTGGCATCACCTCCAGGACACCCAGCAGGGGACTGTCCCGAGCAAACTGAGGCCGCCGTGCTTCACCTCCACCCCCAAGGCCGAGCCTAAACCCTGCTGCCAGGCAGATGTGGTCCTACACGGCGAGGAAATCGCCTCACCTCCTGGAGCATCTCCTGCTTCTGGAGAGCCTCGGCAGCTGGAATAGCTAAAACGTCTGGGTTTGGGTATTTATTCAACTTATTTATGTAAAAAAAAACCGACAGGCAGCTGGGGCATCCTGCATTTTAGGCATTTGGGGTGGTGTCGGGAAAGGTGACCTCAAGCAAATGCCTGTAGGAGCTGTGGGTCTGCCCTACGTGGAGACCTGGCTGCTGTCCCCTGGGCTGCAAGGCTGCCCAAAGCAGGAAACTTCTCAGGTTTTTCTCACTAAACCAGAAATTTAACGGGCTTTACCCCTCCTTCTGGGCAGAGCAAGCCCCAAAATCAAGGCTCAACGCTGCTCAGTTTTATTTTTCCTCTTTCTTTGTCCTCCCTGTCCCATCCCCTCCTGCCAGGGTGGAAATTTGGGATCAGGCAAGATGAGGTTGGGAAAGAAAACACATTCCCGGTTTGCCATCCTGCCCTGGTCCACAGAAGGATTTACACCATCCTCGCCGCTCTGATGAGTGATAAATGGATTTAACCCTCTGGGAATTGCCCTGAACAGCCTCAGATCTGGTTTAGCTTTAATCACAAAACACCCTAAGGGTCAGGAGGAGGTTGGGAGGGCCACATCCTACAGCAAAGGTCCCGCAGCAGTGAGCAGAGGGCAAGCAACCACCCCCCGGAGCAGCCAGCAAGGGAACGATGCTCCTTGTCCCTCGGCCACCAGAGGGAGATGCTGCCCAAGGCTTCCCGATCAGGCACCCATGGGGTTTGGGGAGAGGGGTGTGTGGGACCCTCACCACTTCCACATCCCCTATGGGAGCTGCTGGGGGTGAAACGGGGGCTCTGGGGTTCTGGGGGTGGCTCCTTCCAGCTCCCCAAACCTCCCTGGGTCTCGGGGGACTTTGGGGAGCCTCTGCTGGGGTTTCTCCCTCCACAGAAGGGCTGGAAGCTCGGCACGTCCCCATCCCCAGACCCTCCAATGCCCCGGGATAAAGGATTTCTGCTCCTTTGTGGCTGGCGAGCCCGATTTTTGCTCACTTGGCTCTTCAGGAAACCCTCAGTCGTGCCCCAGTGCCACCGCTGCCACCACGGCGGGGACGCAAGGAACGGGGCACAAGGAACGGGGTGACAGAGGGTGACAATGTGGGGAGTGACCTGCAGGAACTGCCTGTGCCTCTGGTCACTCACCTGGAAAAAAAGGAGCAGGAACGGAGCCCGTGGCCCTCCCGGAGCCACAAACAATGCCCAGGGCAGCACCGGGGCTTGGGGACGCAGCCGGCACCGTCCCCTCCACCCCAATCCCCTGCTGGGGTGGTTCTGAGCACGGTCAAAAATTAAAAAAATAATGGGTTGGAAGGTGGTGGCAGGGCATGAAGGGTGGTCGCAGCCCATCCAGCAGTGGGTTTGGGGTCTGGCCTCGTCCACCCATGGGGATTTAAAGAGGGGAAGGTCCAGGAGCTCCTGCCCTCGGCTGCTGCTTTGGGTCAAGGCACGGCGCAAACCACCCAGCTCCGAGGTGATGAAAGGCCCTGAGCCAACCCCAGGATGATTTACCCACAAAGCAAAAAAAAAATATTCTCACTTCCAAAAATACCAAAACAGCTGAATTACAGAAAAATATTTGCCCCCGGGTGTTGTTGGTTGTTTTTTTCCAAGCCGTGACTCGGGACGGTTTTTGGTTCCCTTTTTGGTGCTTTGCCTGTTCCCGTAAAGGGCACGGGGAACCCGGGGGCTCATCAGGCCCCTAATGAGGGTTGTGACTTAATGAGACCCCCAAGGACCGTGCTTTGTGTGCAGGATTGGGGCCGGGGAACCAATTTTGTGGGATCAGGATCAGGACCGGGACTGCTCAGCTCCGTTTTGGGGGGATTTTGGGCGGCGAGGGGTCCGCGGGGATGCTGCGGGAGGAAAGAGCCGGCACTGCTGGAATAAGGGGGACCCTAAAAGCGGCCTTAAAAGAGGGGGGGGGGGGGGACACCGGGACACGCGTGGGGTGGGCACGGACACGGGTGGGCGCTGGGATGGGGACGGGGGGGCGCGGGGATGGGGGGCGCAGGGAAGGGGGGCGCAGGGATGGGGGACGCAGGGATGGGGGGCGCGGACACGAGTAGGATGGTGGGATGGGGACACGGGGGGGGGTGGAGGGGACACGGAGGGGACCCGGGGGGGGCCGTGTCCAGCCCAGCAGCCGGGGGTGGGACCGGGGAGGGGTTTTGCGGGGCGGCGGCGCCTGCGCGGGGCGGCGGCGGAGCTCCGCGAAGTTGTGCGGGGCCCGGGGAAGTTTTTGGGGAGGCGGCTCCCGGTGCCCAGCCCCGGTTCCCGGGTGTGTCCCGGTCCCGGTGCCGGTGCCGGTGGCTTTCCCGGTGCCGGTGCCGGTACCGGTACCGGGCCGGCCATGGCTTTTCGGAGGCGAGCCAAGAGCCACCCGCTCTTCAGCCAGGAGTTCCTCATCCACAACCACGCCGACATCGGCTTCTGCCTGGTGCTCATCGTCTTCATCGCCCTCATGTTCGAGGTGAGAGCCCCCCGCCGCCCCCCCAAGGCTCCCCCACTCCCCACGGTCCCGTTTCCCACGCGTGTCCCCCCCCCCCGGGACACCCGCACCCATCTCCGTGTGTCCCCCCCCTCCTGCTGTGGATGGGGCACCCTGGGTGCTCCCCACCCCATTACACCCCCCCCCCCCGGGGGCTGTGGGGCAGATCCCCGCTGTTTTGGGGGCACCAGACCCTCTCCATCCTCGGGGCAGCCCATTTATCCTCGGGGCACCCCATTAATTCTTGGGAACCCCATTAATCCTCGAGGCACCCCATTAATTCCTGGGGCACCCCATTAATCCTCGAGGCACCCCATTAATCCTTGGAGAACCCCATTAACTCCCAGGGCACTCCATTCACCCCCCACCAGCAGTGGGACCCCCCCCCCTGTTCCCCCAAACCCTCCCAAAACAGACCCAGCCGTGTGCAGGACCCCACCGCTGCCTTTTGGGGTGCCCCGTCCCCACCCCAAATAAAACCCTTTAGCACCACTGAGGCTCACGGGTCTCCGCTGGGTGCTCGCCAACCTCGCTTCTCCTTTTGGCTCCCCAAAATCTGCCTCCCTTGCTGGGGAGGGTCCCTGCCCCGCACGGCCCCCCGAGCACCATCGGCCTCCCGTCCCGTGCCCGGAGGCTGCCTCGACCCCCGGCCTCCTGCGAGGAAACCTCGAGCCCCGGTGGATGCTTCCAGGTCTCGTTTTGGGGCTATTCCTCCACTTTGTCCCCTTTCCAGGTGCTTTTTCCAGGTGCCGTGGGACGAGCACCGCAGGCTCCTGGGCCCCCGGCCTCCCCTCGTCCTCCGCAGGGAAACTTTGGGTTGGCGAGAGCCCCACAAAGGCCGAGCAGCGCCTTGAACGCCGCCTCTCCCGCTTCTCCTTCCCTCTCCCAGCTCCCTTTTCTCTCTTTTCTTTTTTTATTTTTTTTCCTTTTTCCTCTCCTCTTTTCGGGGAGGAGACAGGGGAGGGCTGGAGGCCGCCGCGCAGCCTTCACCCTCTCCGGCCTCCCTACGTGGAGGCACCTCGGGTGGGCAGCGGCCGGAGCGGATCCCCCCCTAAAACCCTGCCCAAACCCTCCCCTCCAGCCCAGTGCCACGTTTCAACTGGGAATCCGGGGACGGGAAAAGGGGTGGCCGGGGAAGAAGGGGGCCTGGCAGAGGAGGAAAGGCTCCTTCTCCAGCAAATCGCAGGAGGAGGAAATCCATTTCCTTACCCCCCCTCCCGATGGCAGCCCCCTCCTCTTTGCTTTTCTTTTATTTATTATTTATTTTTTTCCTTTTCCTGACTTCTTTTTTGGTTTTTGTTTTTTTTTTTTCTTCCTGCAAAGGCGTTGAATGAGCTGCTTGAGTGCGTGGCAGGGATTTATGTAAGGGACGGCTCCTAAAGCTCCGGCGGGAGGGCCGGCGCCCGTCCCAAAACCGCCCGCAAATGCCCCGAAGTTGGGAAAAAAAAAAAAAAAAAAAAAAAAGAAAAAAAGAAGAAAAAAAAATTGCCCGGGTTGCATCTCCCACGAGGTTTTCTCTCCCCGCAGCTGCAGCTTTCGGGGTGCTGCTGCTTTTGTGGGATTTCAGGGGCCGTGACGCCCCGAGGGCTGGTTTTCCCAAAATAACCCCTCTCCGAAGGGAGCAGTGACCCCCCCGGGGGGCTCTTGTGTTATTATCATTATTATCACTTCTGTTACTATTATATTATATTTTGTTTTCCTCCTGCTTTGTCTTCCCCCGGAGGAGAAATCCTGCTCTGCTCTTCCCCGGGCCCCCCCCAGAGCCGCCCCCGCGGTGAGTTTGGGTGGCAGCTCGGCCGTGTCACCTCCCGGTGACATCCCCGGCCCTTCCTCCTCCTCGTCCTCCCCCTGGTCCCGCTGGCTTCCCACCTTCCCGACGGCGGAAACGGCCGAGTCCTGCTCACAATGGGGCCGTTTCCTGCGGAGGGGAGGGTTTGTGGGGCACGCAAACGGGATTTTTTAACCTTTTCCCAGGCAGCCCCGCGCCGGGCGGGGTGGAGGGGATGCTCCAAGGCTCGCCGAGCATCTCCCCGCCTCGAAACCCACCTCCAGCATCCTCTTTGGCTCACGACCTCTTCCCATTCCTGGCGGATCGATGGCACAAGGAGCCCAGTCCGCTTTTGGGGTGCTGCCCTGGCCGATTTGGGGACGGGGCGCTGGTTATTGGGGTGCCGTGCACCTCGCGGGGACGCGCAGGAGGGCAGTGAAAAGTTTCTGTGGCTTTTGTTGTGTTTTTTTTTTCCTCCCAAACCGTTTTAAGTTTGGAAACGCGAAACAGCTGCTCTCCGTCTTTGCATATCTTTCTTTCTTTTTTTTCTTTGTCACCCTTTTTGGCAGAAAAATGAAACTGAAGCCGGGCTCGGCTAAGCCCCCAGCTGTCCAGCTTGCATCAGGGCGCACGGTGCAGGGCCGGGCAGCATCCTCACGGGCTGAATTTGGGGGAAATGGTGCCGTTTTGGGGGATTTCTCTATCAGATGCTGCGATCTGTGCATGATGGGGAAACCGAGGCACGGTTTTAGGGCTCCTTCCCACCCAGAACCATCTGCTGTGGGCAGGTGGGGACAGGGCTCGGTGTGTGCTGAGGGCATTTGGGGTTCAATATTGGACCTGGAAGGGTTTGAAGGTTCTTGGAATAGGGTCACAGGCCGGGATTTCGTGCAGAAGTGACTTGTCCCCAGCCTCCCCGGCTGTGCTGGTGACCCCGGGCAGCGGAGGGGCTGTGAAGGCGGCTGTTTACCTTCCAGGGCTCTGGTCCAAAGTTTGGTCTCCGGTGTACATACGGGGACCGGGTTGAGCCATCCCAGCTTGGGGGCTGATGTGGTTTTCCTTCAGCAAATGCTCCGGCCGGCAGAGGGGAAGAAAACAAATCAAAATCTCCCGATGGTGTTTTATCTGTAATTAGAAGTTGTTTTTCAAGCCCGGGAAATATTTTCCCAGCTTGGGCTGCAGCAGCTCCCCCGGCCTCCCCCACCGGAGCTTTGGAGCCGCTTCCTTCCTCGGGAGGAGCTGGAACCCGAACGGGAGCGTGGCTGGGACCCCACAAATCCCACCAGGGTGAGGTTTTGGGGTGCAGGCAGCGGGGACAGGTTTTGGAGAGCGACTTGGTGCTTCCCTGGGAAAGGATGCTCATGGTTGATTGAGCCCAAAGGGCGCTGGCATCCCGAGGGACCTGGACAGGCAGGAGAGGGGCCATGGCCACCAGGACATGGGGCCATGGGGCTGGGCACCCTACAGGGGCACCCAGGGGTGTCCCCAAGTCCCAGCTGTGCTGTGATCCTGGGATTTTGGGGAAGGTGCTTGGATGCGTGCGCTCAGGGTCCTTTATTACAAGCAGCTTGCGTGCTTGTACACGTGAAGTTGGGATTTTGGTTGGACTCTTGTCTCATGGGGGGAAAAAAACATCAAAAAAGGGCCGGGGAAGCTTCGGTGCTTTGTATCAGAGACCAAACCCAGGTGATGTGCAGCTTTGATGCGTGGCTGCATCACCCCGTGAGGAGCAGCCCAGGCCACTCTGAGCATCCCACCTTCCCAAATCCACCTGATTTAAGCACATCCCTCGTGCCAGGCAGGGTGAGGAGCGTCTTCCTCACCCCTTTGGGTTGCACAGGGGTGCCTGGAGCAAGCAAGGAGCACAGAGCATTTCCCGTATGGTCCCCACGTGGCTTGGGCAGACGAATCCCGCTCCCACCTTTGAAAAATTCCCTCACCGGGCTCTGGTTTCAGAACGAGCACCGCTGCAGGTCTTGTGCCTCTGAATAATGCTCGCCCTGCTCTTCCCGTTACCAACTTCTCCTTTCTCTGGCCGAGAGCTTGATGTGAGCTGAAAAGCACCGCCAGCTGCTTCCCGAGCTGAGAAATCCTCCGCTCTGCCTTGCAGGGGAGCTGGAGGTGCCCTTTCTGGAGGTGCCCTTCATGTTGAAGTGGTGGGGAGGATGCTCTGAGCCCTCAAAAAGCCCCGGGACTGCCTTCAAATACTGCAAGTGATGCTCCCGTGATGCCCACCAGCACCCAAGGGGCTGGTTACGGCCCCTCTGGCTGGTTAGGAGGCTTCATCCCGGGGGTGCCACCTCTGGGTGGCAGCCAGACAGAGGCAAAAACCCCAAAAACACATTCCTGCAGCATCGTGGCCAGCACTGAGCTGGCATTTACCTCGTGCCCTGCACCAGCTCACTGTGGGGTTTGGCTGCACGGTCCCGGCCGTGCCGTACAGCTCCGGGTGAAGGAACTTCTCTTTCCTCTCCAGCAAGGCTCGCAGGAGCCAGGAGCGTCTCCGTAAGCCAGCCACGCGATGCATTTTTTCCATTACCACCCCAAATCCTGCCCGTGGTCTCCTTCTCCTCGGGCACTTTGCGTCTTGTTTCTCCGCGAGCGTTTCGGTGCCGGGCTCCAGCCGAGCTCCAGCCCCTTGCTCAATGCTCCTGGGGGTGGGACGGGAGCACTTGGCAAAGCCCCCGGGTTGTTTTTTCAACCCCCCCACCTCCTTCCAGCCGCGTCCTGCGAGACGTGAAGCAATCTTTCCAGCTGGGTTTTTAACAGCCTGCAGCTCTCGAGATGTCTGGGGGAAGCGCAGCAGCGGGATGGGATGCTCGGCTCTGCCCAAGGGTTTTATTTCGTTTGATTTCATCTGGGGGTTGAGAGAGGGACAGAGACATGCAGAGCTCGGTGAGGCCACGGCAAGGGTCACACCTGGATGGGTGCTGCCGGAGGGATGCAATAGGAATCCTCAATCCTCAGTAGGAAGCAGGATCTCCCCCGTCAGGCTTTGCTGGCTTCTCCAGCTCTCTCCCTCTTTTATCCACCCTTTTCTCCTTCCCAAATCCCCGCTCCCATCACCTGCTGCCTGCACATCTCCCTTCTGTCCCGCTCGCATCCCCTTTCCCAGCATGGTAGGAAAAGGGAACAAAGGCTGGCAGAGGAATTAATTAATGAATTTATCAATGAGTTTGCTTTCTCCCCCCCAACTCCTGTGTGTTTTTGACAGGTCACAGCCAAGACAGCCTTCCTGTTTATCTTACCTCAGTACAACGTCAGCGTGCCCACGGCAGGTAAGAGGTGCTGCTGTCCCCATGCGATTGCCCCAAATCCCCAAAATGGGGAAGCCCCAAATCAGCTTCCACTGATGTAGGCTGCTTGGGTCTCGCGTGGTGGTACAGAAAACTTGAAAAATCAGAAATAGGGGGAAGCAGGGCTCGGTCCCTGCTTGTATTTTGGCTGCTGCCTCCCAGCCTGGCAGTGATTTAGGCACCGGCATGGGCCAAAGGCTCGGGGCACAGAAAGCCGCCCCTAAGGAGAAGCTGAGAAATCATCCAGCTGATGATCAGGGTGGTTGGGATTAATGAAAATAAGGAGAGGGGAGATGGTAGGTCTGCCGTGCACGTCCCTGGATGTCAGGGTTGAGGAACTCGGCCTGCTTCCAGATTAAATTGTGGTCTGCGCTCCCCCAGAGCCCAGTCCAGACGGTTTCCGCTGCCTGTGTGCTGGGTGATTTATCCCTTCCTGCTGCCAGGAATCCCAGGGGCTCCGTAATCACCTTGCTTGGGGTGTGTGACAATCAGAGAAGAAGCTGTCCCCCCTCTAGCAACGATTTAACCCAGGCTGGAGCCCTTTTTCCCAGCCCTGTGGCCCCTGGCACAGTCCTCACCTCTCTCTGCCTCCAAAACAGACGGCCCCAGCCAAGCTGTGTCGGGAATAACCCCACCCCAGAAGACTTAAGCCCTAGGAAATGTAGGAAATGGGTCGGGTTGGGAGATTTGACCTCAGGTTTGGTCTCTCTGTAGACGGGGAGCTGGTCCAGTATCACTACGGGCTGAAGGACCTGGTCACCATCCTCTTCTACATCTTCATCGCCATCATCCTGCACGCGGTGGTGCAGGAGTATGCCCTGGACGTGAGTGTGTTTGGTGTCTTGGGTTGATGAAATATCTCAAATACCGTGGTGGGGACGTGGTCCTGCTGCAGTTAAACACAGCTCTGGTGTGATCCATGGGCTGGGGTGGCCACGTGTGAGCCTTCATCTCTGGGGGCTGCTTGGGATGAGGAGGAAGAGGAGGAAGGAGGGTTGTTGGCCCGGCGGCTCACGTTTTCTTGTTCCTTTTCTCTCCCTCGGGCCCATCCCAGAAAATCAACAGGCGTCTCCATCTCTCCAAGGTCAAACACAGCAAGTTCAATGAGTCGGGGCAGCTCGTCGCCTTCCACCTCACCTCCTTGATTTGGTGCTTGTACGTCGTTGTGACGGTGAGGGCGCGGTGCCGGCTGCACTTGGGGTTCCCCGGGTGGAATTTTGGGTGTCTGGAGCACAAAACTCCCATGGGAGCAAAGAATTCACAATCAGCCCTTGGGCTGAGATGGGCACATTTTAGCAAAAGCTTAACCCAGGACCTCTGTGAGAAATAGGGGAAGGAATGGGCTTGACCTGGGGTTTGGTGCCTGTGATGCTGCTCATGGATCTGCTCACCCCACTGATGCCAGCAAGGCTGGAGAAGCAGCATAACAACGAAGCCTTGTGCTGCTGAGAGCTCTTTTCCACGCCTGCAGATGTTAAAAAAAAAACCCAAACACTTGGTTTTGGTCCTAAGCAACGTGATGGGGGAGTGGGAACGTGGACAGGACCAGGGTTTGAAGGGGACTGCAGAACGGTAGCAGGGACAGAGGGTCCCCATGGGGCGTGGGGAGCAGAAGAAGAAAATCCTGGAAAAAAAATGTGCTGATTTTGCCCTGTGAAAGGCTGGGTGGGATGAGTTAGTTTGGCTGCAGCTTGTGGGTCCTTCTGTGCTCGCTGACCTTGGAAGGGATTTGGGGTAAACGGGCAGATGTCCGTGATCCCTCTCTTGGTGAGGTGGCAGTGGTGGCGGACGCAGAGAAAAAGGGAAACCATGCAGTGCCTCGGGTTGTTTTGGGGATGTTTCAGCCCAAAACAGACGGGGAAAAAAACTTGGAGTGGAATCGTTTCGTATTTTTTTGGAGAAAGGGAGGGAAAAACAACAGACGGCATGGGGAAGACGGGATGGATTTGGCAGCGTGAAGCAGTGAGGATGCTCTGCTACCGGTTGGGGTCCAGCTGTGGTCCATGGCTTGGGGATGCTCGGGGAGAGGTCCTCTCCTGCTGCTCAGGGGTCCTGCCAGCCCTCCTTGGAGGACCTCGGCCACCTCCAGACTGACCTTTTTGGGGACTGCAGGCCGTGTTCCTATCCTAGGCTGCATGGAACGGGACATCCTAGCAAAGCCCAGCGCAGCAGCCCTGTGGCAGGAGCTGTGCTTGTGTGGAACAAGAGGGGAGCCCCTGGAATCCACCCTGCAAAGACAGGGGAAGGCGTGTGGGTGGAGAATTAAACTGTACAATGCATCTTGAATTATTTCTGTGGGTGTGTGAGTCCTTCCCCAGCTCTCCTGCAGCCCCTCAGGCCCGGGCAGGCCGCTGGGAGGTCTCCCCGGAGCCTTCTCCTCCCCAGGCCCAACACCCCCAGCTCCCTCAGATGGCTCCAGAGCAGAGGGGCTCCAGCCTCTGCTCCTCCTCGGGGCCTCCTCTGGGCCACCCCCAGTTCCTATTTTCACTCCAGCAC